GTCACCACTCTGATAAGTTTCCCTTTGTATATTAGGACCCTTTTATCCTTAGCTGGTTCAGAATTCTGTCTTTATCCTTTCACTAGAAATGAAACAAGATTGATTCAAGTTACTCCTGAGGGGAGTTCTCTGTGCTTTTGGATTTCATTGTCTGTTTCCTTCCCCAGATTGGGGAAGTTCTCAGCTACAATTTGTTCAAGTACTCCTTCAGCGCCTTTCTCTCTCTTCCTCTTCTGGAATTCCTATGATACGGATATTGTTCCATTTGATTGCATCACTCCTCCTTTTGTGCTCCTGGATCAGTTTATCTCTCTTTTTCTTGGCTTCCTCTTTTTCTATAACTGTGTCTTCTAGTTCACCTATTCTTCTCTCTGCCTCTTCAATCTATGCAGTGGCCACCTCCATTTTATTATGCATCTCATTTATAGCATTTTTTAATTCATCACAACTATTTTCAAGGTCCATAATCTTTGTAGCAATAGCTTCTCTAGTGTCTTCCATGCCTTTTTCAAGCCCAGCTATTAATTTTATGACTATTGTTCTATATTCTTGGTCAGTTATGTTTCTTATCTTTAGCTGTCACTTATTCCTGGAATTTCTTGAGGAGAGTTCTTCCGTTTTGTCATTTTGGCTAGCTTTCTGTCTCTTGTAACTTTTAAAAGCTTGTTATGCGCTCTGCACCTGTGAGTACTGCTATATTAAAGGAGGCTCATATACTGTCCACGGTCTCTCCATTCAGGAAGTGTTCTTTTAATGGTTTCCCTTGGTCTCTCTTGTTGAGACTTTGGTTATTTTATTTCCCTACTTGTAGTGCTATTTGGGACTCTCCACCATGTGTACTTTGGCTTGTTTCTTGAGTAGCCCTGGAAAGGAAAACAGACAGACACACAAACAGGGAACAAAAGCATGCAGACGCACAAACAAATCAAACAAACAAGTAAACCGAAAGAAAAACAAAAACAACAAAAGACAAAGGACAGTCTAAAAGCATAAAACCAGAGAGACTAAAAGACTTAATTCAGATAGAAAAAAAGGAGAATACGGTAGGAGGTGAGTAGAAAAAAAAAAATGAAGACAATGTTACCCAGAGAAACTATATAGTCTGATTATTTCAGAGAGAGAGTAAAGAAGGTAACGACAGAGGTGTCGAATATGCATCAAGAGAATGGATTAAATATGACTGTTTAAGCAAATCTATAACTAGAATACCTAGTCCAGCGGAGCGGAGAGATAAAAATGAATTAAGGGAGAATATATCTGAATAGCAAGAATTGATCTACAGTTAATCATGGCAATGCATCAATGCTGGTCTTGGGGAAGGGCTATTTCTTCCATATCATCTGTCTGGGCTCTGGTAAAAAAAAAAAAAAAAAAAAAAAAACAGCTCCCCAGCGCAGATGGGCAGGTTTTGTTTAGGCGGGTCTCACCTCCACTGCGGGTCCCTCCAGCCCTCTCTGAAACCCCGCCTTGGTGGTTGTGGGGAGAAAAATGGCGGCCCCCCCATCCCTTCTCGAACCAAGCATTGCAAATCACTCTTTTGGGTCTGAGCTCCCTGCGCCACAGCGCAGCCAAGGTGAGCCGGGTACTATGTCCCGCCCCCAGCCTCGTTTCTAGATCTTACTCCGTGTGCATTAATGATACCGCCCGAAGTGTAATTCCCCAGGCCCAAGCCAGGGCCCTTCCTACCGGGGGATCGAGTAGGGGAACGGTTCCTCCTGATGCCGACTGAGTCCCTTACGCACCATCTATTCCGGGGGGAATTTCTAGGACCAGGGTACCCAGTCCAAAGAAAGCTCCGCAGTTAGAGATCAGATCTCTCTGAACGCCCTGCGGTCAGAGATGGGATGATAGGATCCCTGTCCGTCCTGGGCCAAGATTTCTCTCTTCTCCAGGGCCAGTTCTATGAGCAGTTTCAGCCGCTCTTTCTCTTCCCCTCGACTCTCCGCAGAGGGGGCTCCCTCCCCTCTGTGCCTCCGTGTCCTGGCCCATTTTTATCTTCCCCAGTGCATAATCACGCTCCTATGAGGCTGTCTTCTTAGTGGATTCTGTCTCTTTTCCTCCCAGACTCTTGCACTCAGCGTCCTTTGACCTCGGCCCTTCTTTGTTTGAGAGATGCAGGCGGCAAGTACGGACCTCCCTACGTCTCCCCCATCTTCCTCCAGTCTCTCACAACATTTTTATTACTCGGGAGGCAGTGCAAAGGTTTAAGATGAAAACTGTAGTTTGAAAGAGTACTTATGAGATTATTGATAACTATCAAGTAATGTTTGTGCCATAACCCTTAGAGTGGATAAATTAAAAGCATGCTTTCTGAGGGATAGAATGTACAGCCTGGCAGCTACAATTAATAATACTGTAGTGCATATTAGAAAGTGGGTAAAGGAACAGGTCTTCAAAGTTCTCATCACAAGAAACAAAACCTGTAGCTTTGTGTAGTGATGGATATTAACTAGATTTATTGTGGTGATCGTTTCATAATATATACAAATATAAAATCATTGCGTTGTCCATCTGGAGACTAATACAAGATAATCAGTTATACGTCAACTTAAAAAAAATAAGAAATTTAGGGACACCTGGGTGGCTCAGTCGGTTAAGCGTCCGACTTTGGCTCAGGTCCTGATCTCACGGTCTGTGGGTTCAAGCCCCACGTCAGGCTTTGTGCTGACAGCTCAGAGCCTGGAGCCTGCTTCGGATTCTGTGACTCCTCTCTCTCTCTGCCGCTCGTCGCTTGCACTTTGTCTCTCTCTCTCTCTCTCAAAAATAAACATTAAAAACATTTTTTAAAAATTAAAAAATAAGAAATTTAGTGATATAGTATGCAAAAAACAAAAAAGAAAACAAAAAAAATGCTTTCTGGTTTTAGTTTTCTTCTCAAGGATTTGAGGAGACACGCTTCCTCAACTTGGTGTTGGAGACCTCCAAGCTCCCTGTGCTTCCTCTCCAAGCTCCCAGTGTGGTCCATGAAACAACAGTATCTGCATCACTAGAAAGTTGGTGAGAAATGCAGTCTCAGACCCCACGCTAGACCTCCTGAATCAGAATCTGCATTTTAGTAAGATTCCCAGGTGATTCATGTGCACATGCTACATTGAGAAGCCCAGCAGAATACCCCAGGGAGTGTCAGAATGGAAGCCCAGAAGTGCACCATTTTTCTAGAAAAATATTTGGGAGACAGGAGCGGTATTCCACGAGTCCAAACTAGTGATACTCTGTTGTGCAAAACATTGGTCCTTGGCCCAGGATCTGCTCTCATCTTCTGATTCCATTTCCCTTTCTTCTGTATGTCCTGTAAAAGTTGGCTTCTCCAGGCTGCCCTCTTGGATTGATTATTTGTTTTGCACATGAGGGCTCCCTCACTCTTTCATATCTGCTATAGTCCAAGTGTCTGTTTCCACATGAAGTTTCTCTCATGAGCCCCAGATCCATGTTTCTGACACCTTACCAAGTACGTCTGCCAGGAAGCCATTCTGTTGTTTCCAGTACCTTCATGTCAGAGTATCCAGAGCTGAACTCCTTGCTGTACCCACACCTCCTGCGTCCCGTATCCCAGCTGCCCTTAACAGTTCCACCATCAAAACAGCCTCTGAGGCCATATGCCTTCTCTACCCTGATGCCAAAATGTTCTTTATAGAATGCAATTAGATCACATTTGGTGACTCCTGATCGCCTGCAGAATTATACCCACACTTCTTCCCATAGAAGGCATGTAAAGCGCACAGGAGTCCGCCCTCTTTCTACGTGTCAGGCGCCTCATTCTTTTCCCCCTTTGATCCTTCTAGCACTGTACCCCCATCCTCAATTCCTCCACTTGTAGCAAAACTCGAGTTCAAACCTAGGAATTAGACAAAGGTGCCAACAAACTGTGACCTGTGGGTGAAACCTGCCCACCGCTTGTTTTTGTACATAAAGTTTTATTGGAACACAGCCATCTCTATTCACGTTCCTGTTGTCTGTGGCTACTTTTGCACCTCAACAGAGGAGTTGAGTAGTTGAGACAGACACCGATTGACCCACGAAATCTAAAATACATACTATCTGGCCCTTTGCAGAAAAAGGTTGCCGACCCTTAGAAAATCCAAAATGTGATGCTTTCCTGACTTGTAAGTTTTGTAACCTCCTATTTATTGTCAGTGAGTTGCTACAACTTTTCAAAAATGACTGCAACCCCTCATGTAAGCACACAGCCTTGTATACTGCAGAGACCCCAGAGCTATGATGAGATCTGCCAATTCCTTGCATCAGATCGGTTCAGTTCTTGACATCAGATAACGCTATAAAACTAACAACTGCAGTAAATCTTCAAAGTTCCTACCACAAGAAAAAGCAATTCTATAACTGTGTGTGGTGATGGACATTAACTAGACTTACTGTGGAGATCATTTCACAATATGCACAAATATTGAATCATTATGTTGTCCACCTGAAACTAACGTTGTTTGTCAGTTACACCTCAATACAAACAAAGGAAAAAAAAAACCTAACAACTATAAAAATGATTGTGATAGAACCAAACCCAGGAATGTTTTGAATAAAGAGATGGCCATTGCTGATGACAACTTGCAGTGGGTGAGTGGATGATGCAATTGCATTTGTGTATCTGGAGTCTGATCTTTATAACCATACACAGTCCTAGTCAAGAAACTTGTATTCTAATCGTCAGGGATTAGATGCCGCAAAATAACCTCTTACTGTTCAGATGTGCCTGGGTCAGTTTCAGATTAAGAACTCTAGAAATACAAGGACACCTGAGTGGCTCGGTTGGTTAAATGTCTGACTTCAACCCAGGTCATGATCTTGAGGTTCTTAAGTTCAAGCCCCACAATGGGCTCCCTCTCCCTCTCTCTGCTCTTCCCCTGCTCGTACACATGTGCACGCTCTCTCTCTCAAAACTAAACATTAAAAATTTTTTAAAAACTCTAGAAATACATACCATTTCTAGTGATAGAGGAAAATATTATCGTCACACAGAACTTTCTGAATGTCTCTTTCTGCCCTAGGTCCGTTTGTGATGAACACCAATGAAGAGATTTCGCAGGCCATCCTTGATTTCAGAAATGCAAGAAATGGGTTTGAACGAGCCAAAACCTGGAAATCAAAGATTGGAAACTAGTGAAGAACACAAAAGTAGATCTCAGTACTTTCTAGAATTTTGCCTGTTGTGGCATCCATCCACTCAGCATAGTCCATTCCCAAAGCTGACTTAGCCAGTGCTTCTAAAGAATTGCACACTAAAGTGATAAACATGGTTTTTATAGCAACGCACATGAGATATTTGCTGGTATATGCAAATAAACCTAATTGTTGCTTCTTTAAAAAAAAAATCAGTGTTCTTCATTTTGACCCAAGTTATGGAGCTTCTGTTAAGAAAAAAATCATTTTGTGCTTGTTTGCCTTTTCGTGTGCTATTTTTGTGCGCAGGTAAGTTTTTTAAGCATATTTGATTGCTTTCTGCGTGTCCCTGGCAGTAGATGTGTGAGCGTCCAAGGTCCCTTCCCGAGCAATGCGGTTGTGAGGTTGTGATGTAACATTCGTGCCTGTGTGCCGTGGTTTCACGTTACAGGTTATGTGCGTTAAAGGAACAGCGATCCTGAGGGTTTGAGTCAGTTTTAAAAACTCCCCTGCTATTGGTAGGGACGCGACACGATTGCAGCCAAGACTTCCCTGCATTTTCTGCCAAAATCTGTCAGATTGAAGACACATGCTTCTGCAGCCTTCCATGAGGGTTGTGAAAAAAGTTTGAACCTAGAATTGGGGTCCAGCCTTCCGTAGCTGCTAATATTGGTGGCCACACCACCTCCTTACAAAGCAACTAGAACCCAGGGCATAGGGTGAAGAGGTTTGTTTGTTTGTTTGTTTGTTTTGTTTGTTTGTTTAATTTGCTGGACATGACATGAATTTGGAGTGCTTTTTCATGTCCAGTGGAAGTCATGTCCACCTTCTGATTATCTTTGGAGCATGAGAGCATTTAAAAATTTTTTCATCTCTCTCCCCCTGCCGCATAAGATTGTGCAGAAACGTTCCTTGACTAATTGAAGTCATTTCATTGGATTTTGATCACAACTGATGATTTGCTTTTCCATGTGAAGTCTTCGGATTTCGAACTTTCCTTCTGGAGAATGTCTTTTGAAACAGTTTTCTCTAGCTGCCTGATGTCAACTGCCTGGTAATCAGTGGATATTAAAATCTTCAAAATGTACAGACAGTGGGCCGTGGTGAATATTTTCGTGATGTCTTATCTGCAGCTGGTGCAGGGCTCCAGCGACGAACATGGACCGGTGAAGGTAGGTGGCATCATTTTAATGTGATGCAGAGGTTATGTTTTTTTTTTATTTATTGGCTTATACAGAAGACTTTCTTTCTTTGCCCCCTATTTTCCAGAAAACATGAAAACACAGAACACTCCTAGTAGTGGACAGGATATATCTTGCATTGGTTAATGAGAATGCTGGATCGTAGGCTTACTAAGATTCTTGCCGTGCATATTTGAAAATGCTGTCCGCCCCCCCCCCCAGCGATATTATAGAACATGCATGAGCTTTCTGGACTCTTTTTGGTTGGGCAAGTGTCTCCTCATATACACAGGTGGCACAGTGAGTTTCGAATGAAACACTGGTTTGTTTTTGTGACCCAGCTAACTGTCTGGGCCATTTATTCAGGTTGGTGGGAGCAGCAAACGTTAGTCAGTTTAGTTCATTTCTTTTGTAAATCGCAAACTACAGTAGTTTCTACAGATGGCTTCTATCTGGCTGTCTGGTTTTCTAGAATACCCATTGCCACCATCTAGAAAAATATCTTCTTGGAAGTTGTTTGGTTTTTTGCTTTTTGAAATGGGTAAAATTCGACAGCAGTCGAAGCCCTCAGAGCCCGGTGAATTGAGGGTAATGCAAAAGAATTAACTGCTGTGTTACTGACTGGGTGGTATTTCGCCCAATTTGATGTATTTTGTAGATTACGTTGTTTCCTTCGGCTTTTTATCTTGAGAATGATTTGGATTTACTTGTTTTGACTACAGTGGTGCTGAATCAGTATGGATTTAGGAGTTTCTGGCTGTGAACGGTCAGACATGAGCTTGAGTTTCTGTCCCTGTTGTTAGGACGCGCATCTTCAGCAGGTGTGATATCGCCCCCAACCGGGGAAAATTGGTCCTTGGGTAAAAAAGTCTTGGATCACTCCGTATCAAGCGCAGATGCATGTCCAGTGGCTAAACAGACCCATGCTGTGTCTGTAAAGATTGGACACGGGGGCACCCACCTGGTCTAGCAGTCTACTAATGTCTTTCTAAAGCTAGAAAGTCTTTCTAGCTTTCCAAAACAAACAAACAAACCAACAAAAAAAAAAACAACAAAAGTCTTTCTAGCTTTCCGAATTCCAAATACACTCAGAGCTCCCAGCCACTCAGCCCCGCCTCACCACTAGCAGCCAGATGGTAGGTAGAAATGAATCCACTTTTGAGCCCAGGTGACGGGGAAAATCGGACTTGTTTCAAGCAGATAAGACTTTTCAGGCTGTTCACTTTTTTAAAGTCCATAAAACCAGGACTCCTTTAGGTGTGTTGGGTTTGTAGAAGCTTACCCCCCCGCCCAACGCCCCGGCCCCCCACTGCCGCCCGTGTTACTCCACTGATTTTAAAAATGTTTCCATTTTACATTAAACGTCACTACATTTGATGGTTACAAGAGATTTTGGATTGTTGGAAAGAAGTCCTGTTCTTCATGTTGTTCAGCTCTTTTAAAGAGCTCGCACACCAAGAATTCTTCAGGTATCCTGGGGACGGTGAGGTTTGAAATATTTCACATTTACTGGTAACCTTGGAATTTGCAGGTGACACGAGACATGTCCTTGCACATGGAAGAGGCAGCACTATGTGCTTAGTAATACCATCAGTGATTTTTTTCATATAGATCTAAGTTTCCATTAAAAAGTGAAGCTATAGGGGCACCTGGGTAGTTCAGTCGATTAAGTATCTGACTTCGGCTCAGGTCATGATCTCATGGTTTTTGAGTTCAAGCCCCGTGTCGGGCTCTGTGCTGACAGCTCAGAGCCTGGAGCCTGCGTCGCATTCTGTCTCTGTCTCTCTCTGCCCCTCCCCCACTCATGCTCTGTCTCTTTCTGTCTCTCACAAATAAATAAACGTTGAAAAAATGTTTTTAATTAGAATTTAGTATGGAAGCCCAGTCAAGATGGTAATGAACACTGGGATATGAATTTTTTTTTTTCTTTTGGGGATAAAAATGTCTCATTGATTGTTAGACATTTTCAGGGTCTTCCTCAGGAGTAGGGCTGTGGGCATGCTCTCTCCACCTTCCCGCCTGCCCCCTTCACCACCAGAGTTGGCGATGCCGGCTCTGTCCTTAGATTACCCTTCCCCCACCATCCACACTCTCTATCCTTGAACATTGTCCTGTTTCTTCACCTTACACTAGCGTCACTTCTACTAGAATTATACAAATCTGTCAGTATTTTTTCTGCAACAACCATGCAAACAGCTACTAGAACCCCCGGCAGTTGTGGTTAATGTCCCTTGAACGTAAGGCGTCTTCATCCTCGTCTTACCACTTGTATTTAGGAGACCTGTTTGCGGTGGGCAGTGCATAGAGCTTGTAAATTGAGATCATTCTGTCTGAAAATCTCAACTCCAATCTGTATATACTGTTAAGCTGCTAAGTTTCTCAATCTAAGCAGAACACACTTTATAGAAATAAGGTTAACCTGGTGTCTGTTCTTGGCTCACTAATGTAGTCAGATTAACCATCTAGATGCGGGATTTGTTTGTGCCTGTTTTCTCCAGCTTTTTTCATACACTTGGGATAGTCATATATAGTTGCACAGGTTGTGCACTGCCCAGCTGTAGGGAGCTTTACATGGACTCACATCTGTATGTGACAGCCCTGAGTACAATAAGGTAGGCACTGTGGGTATTGTGGGTCTGGTTCTTCACACTGACTGTCTAGCCAGCACTATTTCTGGTTCATTTGATAAGCAATTCTCGTCTTGAGAAATCTTGGTGCCTCTTGAAGCACTCGTATGAAGCCATCCTCCATAAGTCTTTTCAGAGTCACCGATGCAGACATGGCACTAGAGTGATACAGGAATACCATGGGTGTTGGAGTCATTCGAACTGCGCATGATACCAAGCCTCACAGGGATGTGGGGTACCTCTAACTTGCCTGAGAAGCCTTTTGGCTGACGAGACTTCACAACCTTTGTGTCACTTGCCTTCTCCCGACACTGTCTCAGATTGAGCAACAAGAACCGAGTGTGTCTTCCATATTTAACTCCGGAAAGCCAGCCCACCCGCACTCCCCTCCCTATTTTTACTTCCAGAGTCATGCACAGGAAAGCATATTGGCTCTGCTGCTAGTCAGATGGCCCAGTGAGCTCTCCTTCACGTTTCTATCAGGCGCAGCCCTTGGCACGAAGGACATTTGAAGTGTTCTCTATCACCTTCTTCATGTCTGACCTTGTAGCTGACCATGTTGAATTACGTGCTCTCTACACAGATCTGTTCTATCCTAATCATTTGTAACTGGTGGGTAAAGCGTGGATATCACTATAGCCTGTTATTGGTATTCAGGATACAATAGGACCCCCTGTATCTTATATCGTCCTCGTATGACTTATTTCTTTCATTTAAAAATCCTAATTTGGGGGCACCTGGGTGGCTCAGTCAGTTGAACGTCCGACTTCGGCTCAGGTCACGATCTTGTGGTTTGTGAATTCGAGCCCCACATCGGGCTCCGTGCTGACAGCTCAGAGCCTGGAGCTTACGTCGGATTCAGTGTCTCCCCCTCTCTCTTCCCCTCCCTGGCTCATGCTCTGTCTCTCTCAAAAATAAAATAAACATCATAAAAATGTTTTAAATAAAAATCCCGATTTGGACTCAGGGGTAAACCTTTACCCTAGGCCCCTAAGAAAAAAATTAACAGTAATGCTGAATATTGAACAAGATCCATTACGGAACCCCTTTTAGGAACCAGCTGATAAAGGCATTTTGTGGGATGGAAATATAGTATTTGGACACATGAGTGCTTCCGTATAGAGCTTCCCATAATAAGACCCCGAGCTGCCAGGCACTTTGGCTGGAGGTCCTAGAGAAATAGGGACGCAAATGATAGTAACGTTGTTTCTGAGGACATTTCTAAGCATAACACTTTTCCTACCACTGGAATGTAATTGCGAGGAGATGAAATGAGACATTTCTTCGTGGGTGGCTTCTAGGATAAGTCCAGTTTTTTCTCTCTCTTGCCACGAGTTCTTATAACCTCTACCGAGATACCAGTACATTATGAACAAAGGCACCCTGAGGCCTCCCTGCATCGTGAAAGCTTTGAGTGGTTGTACTGTCCCGGCTGGTAAAGGCTCTCCCTTGCCTCCCATTAGCACTCACCCGTGTTGGACAATTCAGCCACTGAACTGCTGAGCACCTACTACATCGGGGCACTCATCTCGGTGCTGGAAATGCAACAGGGAAGAAGACAGTGTTTTGACAGCGTTTTGACTCTCAGAGAACTGTTCCACGCGTGGCGGGCAGAGGCAGGCAATGGCAGATCTCTAACACGTCGGGGGTAGTGGCGCGGAGAAAATCAAGCAGGAGACACAGAGCGATGGTGGAGACGTCTCTGATTCGATGTCGCTTGCACAGACCCCTGAAGGAAGTCAGGGGGGTAGAGGAGACCATCGTGCACTGGCCGTGGGGAGGCCTGGGAGGTGGCTTGGGTGTTCGGGTACCCGCCAGGGGGCCAGTGTGACAGTAGCAGGGAGAGTGGGGGCCAGAGCCACGGGTGTTTGGGGTTGGAGAAGCAGCCAGGGCGGATCATAGAGGGTGCGGCTGTGTTCCAGTAAAACTGTGTGGACACTGACATTTGAATTGTATATCACTTCCATGCATCATGAAATCGTCTTTTCACTCATTTCAACCGTGTAAAATTGTAAAAAAAAGAGTTCTTAGTTTACGGGCCGTAGTAAAAGAGGCTACAGGCTGGACTTGGCCCACGGGTCATAGTCTGTCAACCCTGACCGGTATCATGACATGATTTTATTGTCTGCATAGTCTGTGTTGGTACCTGACATTTTTCTTGAACTGTTTATTTATTTTGAGAGAGACAGAGGCAGTGCAAGCAGGGGAGGGGCAGAGAGAGAGGAGGAGAGAGAAACCCAAGCAGGCTCTGTGCTATCAGCACCGGGCTCGATCTCATGAACTGTGAGATCGTGACCTGAGCCGAAACCATGTGTCAGACACAAGCGACTGAGCCACCCAGGCGCCCCTAGTACCTGACATTTT